GTGTCCTCAGAATAGTCCACCCCAACTTGGGCTAACTTTACCAGTTTGCGTAGACTGGAGCATTGGATAAGTGCACGAGTTACTGACTCAGACTCCTTAGCCCCTACTTGGTCTCCACCACATGCTAATTATGGGTGTAACCGTGTCTGAGTGGTTTCACCCTTTGTGCCTGAATGTCCCCATCTGTAAAATGGGTCTGATAGTGGGGTTACTTGCTCTCACAAGGCTGTTCTGAAGATGCAGGAGAGTAGAGTTTCTAGATTCCTTGAAGAGAGGGTTGAGAAGTTGTCCAGGCACCCATGGCCACTGCCCTACCTTATCCCCTCAGGTGTGGTCACCGATATAAGGGTGCTGCTGCAGGATGCTCCTCTCCTGGTGCTTTTGGATGCCTGGAGCAGTGGCCTGGTGAGGGCATAGACTATAGATTCTCTCTGAAAGGCAGCCTTATGTAAACAATTCGAGGGCTACAAGGAGCAAGCAGCTCTCAGATCTGGCAGGTCCCAGGGGTCTGGTACAGTCTGATCACATGGATCATACTTTAGAGTAGAGGTGGGGTGAAGTCACAACCTTGGACTCTGCAAATGGGTTGGCAGTGTGGTGCAGGACAAGCGCAAGCACAATCCAGGCCCAGGTTCCTGGCTAGTAAGCATTTCCTGGTCTTTGCCACAAGAACAGCTCTGTGCTGTACTTTTGTTTCACTTTGCTTTGCTTTCAATGTTGACTGTGGTCTCCAAGGACTGAGATCTGGGGTCCTCTCCTTGACTACAAAAGAACAAAGTGTGAGTCAAAGGCCATCCTAAGGATTTGAAATGACTGGTGTGACATGTGTGTGTGTGTGTGTGTGTGTGTGTGTGTGTGTGTGTGTCCATGCCTGAATCCCATCTAGGATCACCCACACCCACACATGCACACATGTATGCACACACACACACATGCACACACACACACACACACACACTGAGACACATACGCACACACATGCACACTCATCCATGCACGTACCCCACTCTGTCCTAACCACCTCTGCTCCGCATCTCTGCCATTAGCACCTTCCCTCCTTTCCAGCTCTTCCGGTTGCCTTGTGTGAAAGCCTCAGATCCTTTGCAAACCCACTGCCATGTTTCCCCCCAACATCTCCCTTCCCTTCCCACTCCTGAATGCCCCACTGTCTTCAGCCCTCCACAAAGGACACTTAGAGATGCTCCACCCTCTAGGCTGAGGGGCAAAGTCACTGCCCCCAGGGAGCTGGAGAGGAGCTGCCAGCTGACAGAGGCTGTCTCTGGTGGGCACAGCATCGGCAGTGTGGAATCCAAACCTCACACTGTCCATGCTGAGAGCTGGAAGCTGTGGCTCTGGGGCGCTGTCCCCACTGCTGGGCTTCTGGGCCTTGATTCTGTGATGTCATCCTATACAACCCGTCCCCAGCCCCGCTTCCTCTTTGCCTACAGACTCTCCCCAGATTCCTCCCAGAGGTCACCTCCTCTGGGCAGCCCTCCCAGATTCCTAGCCTTAGCCAGGGTCCCTCCAGGCAGCACTGTAGGCTCAGCTTCTACATCGCAGCGCTCAGTGTGCTGGATTACAGCTGCCTAATGGTGGCGCCCCATTGCCTTCTCCCTGCTGTTTTTGGGGTCTGGAATACAGGAGGCCTGCAATTGATTTTTTTTTTTAAATGAGTGATGAAAATAAGACTATTTTCCCCTGGCAAAACATGATTTGTGTGATTCTGGGTGATTTTCCAGAACGTTTCCCCAAGCCGCCTCCAGCCCCAGAGACAGTCTCGCTAGCTCTGAGCCTCCTGATTCACCATGCATCAGCTACACTGAGCTGGCAAGGACCTGGCTGAGTGCTGGCCATGCTCTTCCCGACCGGCTCGGTCCAGGGCAAAACCTCCAAGGGCTTGGACAGGCAGAGCGGGGTGGGGGATGCTCTAGGGATCGAGCTTCTCATCCCAGTCCTAAGGCTGCCATGGCTTTGCATCCCTGGGCCAAGAGCAGCCAGAGAATGCACTTCACCCCTTCATCTCGGCTAGGAGCCTGGGGTGCGGGCCTGCGGACCACGGGTTTGTTTTTCATCAACTCCTTTAGAACTTCAGTCCTCACAGACCATGGCGGCTTTGGTCTCAGGAGCCATTTTTCTTCTGTGGAAACAGGCAAGCTTTCTCTCTACCGATATCCAAACACTGGCTTGTCTAGGGCCCTTTGATGATACATTTTTACCTAAGAACAGTGACAGAACCTGGCAGGTTGTATTTTCCAAGAACAAATGCTTATGAAAGGAAGGTAGCAGTGAGGCTGTGGGAGTTCCAAGGGGAGGCCATAAAAGGGCAACAGTTTTCTCCTGGAGTACCCTCTTCTCCTTCCCTCTCAGCCCCAGACTTTCTGTGTCTTGTTCCCTTTGGAAGTCCCTCTACGATGCTGTCGGGAACCCACCCCAGCCACTCTGAGAGGCCACAGAGAGGAGCTGTGCCCCAAGGCTGTGGTGCCAGCCTGTCCTTGGCCCTGACTGCCAGGCACAGGCACGCACAGGGAGCCTTGGCTAGATGGAGACACAAAAAAACTGTGGACACCAAGGTTATGCAGCCACCAGCCTCTTATCTCTGCATAAGCAAAGGCTTCAAAGGTAGAGCTCATCAACTGAGTAGAATTCACCATGGTAACCTCCTTAAAGGACTCTGGGGCATTATAACCCCATCTTATAGGTGAAGAAACAGAAGCCCAGGAAGACCCATTAAATGATCAGGCAGAGAGATGCATGCACCCAGGTATGCACGACACTGGACATGCGATGGACATATGCGTCTTCTCTCCTGGTGACAACAGCAATGAAAACCTACAGGGAATCCAGTGTGCAGCAGGAGCCCTCTCTACTAAATATCTTCATCTTGCTCCTTCAAGAGGCATGCATTCCCATTTCACAGATGATAAAATTAAGTCTCGAGAAGAGGGGAGAGTTTTTTCCACAGTCAGGAAGCCAGGAGGTGATGGTGCTGAGTCCAGAACTCAGATTTGTCCAGCCATGGCAGCTTCTCCCTAGTGGTGCTATTCATTCTTCATTGCCACTCCCTGCTGTCCCCACCCTCAGGGCTCAGTTGATGTCATCATGCATATTTGATGTGCCTGGAGACAGAGATGCCATTGCTTGAAATATTTCATCTGCAACTTGTGACCCGTGAGACCTTAGGCAAGATATCGCCTCACCTCTCTGGGCATGAGTTCTGTTGTCAATAAAGTTGGAGCGAAGCCATTCTGGGCATGAGCCTCAAATAAAGCAGGTGTGTAGTGGGCCTAGCACAGCTCCCACCAAATGACAGGCAGTTGAGTTGGTTTCTTCTCCTGATCCTCCTTCAAAGACTCCTCCATCACAAAGGTTTTCAGGGCTAAAGGGGACATTTTCCATTGTGCTGGGCACTGTTTCATGGGCTGTATATAAACTGCATGCAAGCTACACAACAGGTGAAGTCTAGATGCCATAGTGATTTTTTTTTTTTTCAGTACTAGGGATTGAACCCAGGTTCTTGGCACTGAGCTACATTTTCAGCCCTTTTTTATTTTGAAAAAGGGTCTCACTAAGTTGCCCATGGTGAGCTTGAATTTGTTATCCTCCTGCTTCAGCCCCCTAGAGTTCTGGGATTATAGAGTGCACCACCATGCCTGGATCCATTGTTATCTTTGAAGATGAAAAGATAGAGACACAGTGACATGGAATTCTGCCATTGGTGTCCTCTAGATGCCATAGCAAAGAATTATAAACCAAGAGGCTTAGGACTGCAGAAAGGTATTGTTTCACAGTTCTGGAACCTGGAGCCCGAAACCAAGTGTTTCTAGGGCTGTGTTCCCTCCGAAGGTGCTCAGGAAGGATCTTCTCAGGCTTCTTGGGCTCGGCTGCAATCTCTGCTGACAGGGCTTCCAGAGGCATCGCCCCAGTTTCTGCCTTCGGCCTTGCAGGGCATCCTCGCTGTGTCTGAATTTCTCCTTTTAAGGACACCAGTCTTTGTGGATTAGGGAGCTGCTCTGCCCAATAGTACCTCGTCCCGATTACATCTGGGATACACTCATTTCTGAACAAGGTCACATGCTGGGATATGGGCGTGAAGGCTTCAGCACACGAACACAGGCTAGGCACAGCTTGACCCACAATGGTCATCTTGTCTGGCATCACACAGCTGATGAGCAGTGACAGTAGCCTTCATGTCCGGTTAGGCTGGCGCAGCATCTGTGCCCTTGAACCTGCCATTCGTCATAACCTGGATGGCTGGAGCAAAGGATTCCCTGGAAGGAGACACAGCGCGTAAGCCCCATCCATCATGCTGCCTGGGAGTGCTCCGGCTCCGTGACCAGCCCCCTTCCTGGTGGTGACTCAGAGGCAGCTCGGGAACACCGGGGGTGGCTCCTCCAATAACTCCACTCAAGCACAAGAACAGTTCGTTTGCTAAAGTAATTAAAAACATAATCTGTGCTATTAAATTCCTCCCCCATTTTTCTGCTGTGTGTGTTCCCCAGCGTGCCGAGTTGAATGCCTTTCCTAATCACTGCTGACATGCCACTCTCCCCCCTGGCTCCCTCCTAACCTGCCATCCTTTGGAGATGACGGGGATGGAGACAGTTTGTTTTAATGTCAGGATCGACATCTCTGATAATTATATACACACACCCTATTTGCTGGAAATTCACTGTGGGAATAAGAGGCTGGGTTGACAGCTCTGACATCCAGCCCTCTCAGCAGCAGCAGCCCAGGGTGCATGCTGAGGGCATGGTGGCAGCCTTGTCACCATCACTGTTGGATTCACTTGGAGATGGCTTTCAGTTGCTGTGGGGCTGAGCAGAAGGAGTCAGCCCTTCACAGCCAAGACCACTCTAGGAAGGAGCAGGAATGATCACTCAAGCCCCCTGCGCTGCCTCACCTGCAGTGGTGCCCTTTTACACGGGACAACCCAGAGGAACTCTGGTTCTCTTCTAGTTAGAAGGCTTTCTTGATGTGCATATGGTGGGGGCATAAAGTAAAGCCAACCCCGAAGTAAGCACCTACTGTGCGCTGGGAGCTGCTGGGCCATCCACAGTGTCTGACTCCACAACAGCTGTGAGATGGGATTTTATTGCCGTATCTGGATGATGATACCAAGCTGCAGACAGGCAGGGAGCTACCAAAGCAGTTCTGCTGAACTGCAATGGAAAACCCAGGCTATGATTTGACCTCTTTTTGCCACTTTGTACTCTTGCAATGCCTATCCAGGAAAGCCCTCTCACCCTACCAACGTTTTTTTCCCTTATTTCCATGGTCCTTTCTTTTAATTCCCCTTTCAACCCAGACTTTTCTCCACTGATGTCTCGTTACATGTAAATGTTCTCTGAGGATTTTCTCTATCCTCTGCTCTTTTCACTACTCCAAACTTTCTCTAGAGCATCCCA